AAGAGTTTTTAAAAATCTTATAGATGGTCTTTTAAAAATTATGCTCTGAAATAACCTTTTAAGGATAGTGGCTGAAAAATGTAATTACATATCTGGCTATGAATTTAAAAAAATTGTTTGCCTTCCTGCATCTCACTTTGAGTTAATGTTTTAAGTGTAATAGAAAGCATTCTGGAAGAATAAAGACTGCATCAAGTTTGTTAAAAGTTGTAAGGGCAGGCAAGGATATAAACCACAAACTTATAATTAAGTTTCACACAAATTGGAAGTCTGCCAGACTCTAGAGCCTAGCCAATGGACACAGGAACTAGATTCTTCTGAAAGTTGAGTCAGATATTTTATGAAGACACTAAACAGGGTTTTTGGTGATCCCCCTGAGTATCACCCCCCCCGACGCTGCCTAAATTTGGCGTCTTAATTCTTCCTTGATCTCTAATACAGAATTATGTGAAAAGATCTAGACAATGGTATTGTCTAATTTTCTACAGCTAGTCCTATATAATTTTAACACGCATTTTTCTTGCTTTTTCAATTTTGTTTGTCTAAAGTGTGCCCCACACTCTAACTTTGAAAGAAATGGGAGTATTCGCGAGGTCATTTTAATCTATGAACGGTCATAAAGGATTGGCATGGTTTATTCTTGTGTTAAGTTATACCAGGGTCCCACATTAGCATGCCCGTTTTCAGGTTATCTGTGATAGAGGAGGAATTGAAAGGATATTATTTCCAGAACAATACTCAACTTCTATTTAAAAAAAAAAGAAATAATCAGTAATTATAAAACTCATATGAGTTGCTAATGAAATTGCTTTGTTTCTCACTTTCTTGTACAGTACATGACATAAAATTCTCAAGAATTTGACTTTTTTACTTACTTTTACCTTTTTATTTACTAGGCATAAGGGTTTTTTCCAAAAGAACCATTTTGAACTACAAGTCTAGTGTAATTCACCATGAAATCTAGTATAATTTAACCTCATCAAGCTTTCTATTTTAAGCCTACTTTAAAAATATTTATTCTGTGTGTGTTTGGTGAATATTATGCCAAAGAAAGTATCTGAAGTAATTTTATAATCTTCATTATTCCTCACAAGAATTACATATTAAGGCAAAATTGTCCCCAGTCTTCCCTATTCTTAAATTATTATCTTAAAGAAACTTTAAAATGGGAAACTGGGTGTATGTGTATTATTGTAACTGTTAAATTTATCCAATGACCTGAGCACAAGTGATGTGTGGTGGAAAGCTCTTTTTATCTTTGCAGTTCTACAAACCCTAAGTGGCATGGATCATTTTAAATCCCATTCACATACTTCAGTGTTAGATTCTGTTAATCCCCATCTACTTCAATGTTGAGCAGTTTGCAGGAGAGGGGCCAGAGCTGCCTGAATGTTCATATTTTGAAGCTTGTACCCTAATGGATTCTTAGCCTAAACACACCAAAGATTTCTGTTAGCTGTTAGATAGTGGCAGAGTTATAGAATTTTAAGTGTTATCGATATTTAAATAGGACTTAGCCAAAGAAGCACAATAGAAGTCCTAAACTTTAAAAGTTCAGTTTTTAAAACAGAACTACATATGTTTAACTGTTCTATGTTTGTATCTCTAAAGTAAAATTTAGAGCTGTGCTCTGGGAATGTTCAGACTGACATGCTGTAAATATATCTGGTAAGAAGCTGAATACTAGCAAATATACAGCAATAATAAGGCCATTGAATGCCACCATCTGAAAGGACACTATCAAGTACTACCCTTCCTGCTTTCTAACTCCACCTTCATATCCTTTCAAAATAAAACTGTTTCTGTTGTCTTTACACTCCATGGCTTGAAAACGGCTGTTATAGGTGTAGTTTTCAAGTTGACATGTATCTATCATATTCATATTACCGCATGTGGACATGAAACATGATTTCCAGCGTTTGTGATTGTACTGTTAAAAATAACCCGACATCAATGGTGTCAGTGCAGTTCTCAGACTAAAAACCCTAACTCTTTGTTATTTCTTGTCTTTTCTGTCCTACAGGAGAAAAAAATGTTATAGGATTTCAACAAAACAGTGGCTTAAAAATAGTTGGTAACTATTAGTTACCAATTAGTTGGTAACATTTTTTTTCTTTTAAAATCCAGTCTGTCTGGAAGGCACTCTAGGAAAATACTAAAATGGAATTTGGAGCATGTTTACTTGATAATGTCCTTTTTAAAGTTCTTTCATGATTGTGCCTTTTATATATATTCTGAATAATGGCTTTTTCTCTAGTTCAGTTGATTATTCAGAAAACATTAAGGTCTATATCTTCCAAAGGGCTTCATGGTTTTGGGTGCCCAACAAGAAACAGACTACAAAAGGACTCGTTTTTCAGAAAAACGAGCGCTATCTTTGCTGTTTGGGTGACCAGAATTACTAGTCATTCCTGGAAAAAATGACCTACTAGTTCTTTGGCGTTCTTTTGTTTGCAGATAACTCTACTAGTTAGTGTTTTTACCTGCTGGTCAGGCTGGATCATTGCCAGTTGACAGTGAAAGAAAATAGGAAAGCTTATGTGCTAGATATACATAGTTTTTATTTTTTTAATATCACGACCTATAATTCTTATGGCTTTACATCTATTTAAAATTCGTATATAGCAAAGTAAATTTTCATGGACTGGTACTTCATTCGGTAGGTGGAAGTAGCTGGTCTCTGCTTGATTGAGGACAGTTCCTCTTAAGAGGACTGAAGTTGAAGGGCAGAGATTTACACCTCACAGCTGCATGGGTCAAAACTCCTTAGGCGTCTGGTACCTCCATTTTAATAAGTATATGTATTCATCCAAGAGTGCATGTCCTGTTGATCTGGAGGGCACTTTTACAATAAAGGCTATGTTTTATCTGGCAGTCATTGACTCAGTTGACCGTTTGTTGCCAAAGAAGGAAGAAGCAGGTCTCTTTTAAAAACACCTCTAATGAACACATTGCAAAAAGTTGGTCCTTTCCACATGCTGACCTTTGGGAAGAAGAGTCGAGTCCGTGTTGATACTCTAAATTGCTACATGGTTCTGAGAACTTACTGCACTCGTTCTAACATTGAATTCTGTATTTTTTGATAAACAGATTTCTCGTTGTTGTCTGGGTTACTGCCCATAATTCTTTAAGTGAATTTTATGTGCAGTTTATTTATTTATATTGGAATTTCCTCTGAGCACTGACACTTTTCCTACGGAGGTATGGCTCTCATGGGTTCTTTATGCTGAACATGAGTAATTACAATGGTGATGATGTCTCTTCTGTAAGACTGTGGTTTCCTTAAAAATGTAGTGCTACTTTAGTCTGGGTTATTATTTGGGTAGGTATTTTAAAAGATGAGTCATGCCAGAACACAAGGAAAAAAGATTTGTTTGGTATCATCAAACAGCTAAGCTTATTTCCCTTATTTCCTTATTTCATGAGTGTGAAAGAACGTCTGGAACTCAAGAAAGCTTCAAAGGAATTGCCTCGTAACGTGCTTGATCAAACGTGAAATGTGTTATGGAGTGCTAAGGTATAAGTGATCCTCGAGTTTTTAAATTTAAAATAATTTCTATGTAGAAGTTCGTGAATGTAGAATTATGAATGAATTCTGAGAAGGCTGTTGCAGATGAAGTTTTCCGACCCCCCCCCCAAAAACAGTAAGAGGCGAGAATTTTTTCTACATTCAGCGTACATGCGTAACTGACCCAGATGGCATGTTCTCCATAGGACTGAAGCTTAATGGAAATAGAGTGCGTTTATCTGTAGGTCCTTGTGACTACTGTCACATGTGATCTTTTTCTACACTGTCATCCCACAGTGCTTTGGTTGGTTTATCGTATGCATTGAAGAACGACACTGGCAGAATATAATGCAGGGCAGTCACTTTGCTTAAGCCTGTAAGGGTCTTTTTCACGGTTCATAGGAAATGCTTTGGTTTAAAAGGAGTTGATGGAGTAAAGGTAACAATGGCAAAAATTTTTGAATCCCCCATAACCATTTTGATCATGTTTAAATGTTGGTCCTTTTATACAAAAGAATAAGGTGAAATAATATTTTGTCACTGGTATATGAGATAACGTGTTTTAAATGTGATCTGTATAGGTTGATATTTTAGATGGAAGTCTTTAAGTAAAGTTGTCTTTTAGGGGAAATTCTTTGCTGTAAGGAAAAGCTAGGAAGTGTACTGTAAATGTGGAAGTACTCAGTCCTATGTGTAATTTTGTTTGTTATGGAAAAGTAAAGTTCTTTTGTCTTAACATTGCTTGCTTCACAGGATTTCTTGCAGGGGTGCTTGTGCTAAGTTTTGATTTCTGCCCCTTTGTTTTTAAACATCATGGAAACACAGTATTCTAATTAGTTTTAAAGCTCATGAAAGATAAACAGATCAGGCAAATTTTTTCATCAAATTTGTGTGCATCACATTCTACTTTTTATTTTAAAATATTTTGTAAATTAAATATATTTAGAAAAATAGTTGGCTTTTGCTTGATTTT